AGAAGACGTTCGGGTGGCAGCCCTCGTCCATGCGGTCGAGCAGCTCGCCGAGGTCCGTGATGTGGTCGGCAAACATGGTGAGCGCGCGGATGACGGTGTCGGCGTCGTTCTCGCGCGCGGCGGCGATGGCGCGCAGCATGATTGGGATGCTGGCGGCGCCGCGGGCCTCGATGGCGACGGAGATGAGGTAGAACCAGGACTCGTCGTGGGTGCCGGTGAAGGTGGTGATGGTGCGGAGGTTGCTGAGGAGGTCTTTGCGCTGGTGCGGGTTGAGGCTGTGGTAGTTCCAGAGACAGACGGTGGCGTAGGTGGCCACTGGGGGGATCTCGAAGTGGTCGGAGAGCTCGAGGAGGGGGGCGGAGATGGTGGCTGGGAGGCACTGTGGGGGGGGAGGGGAATGTCAGTAAAATAGTTCACTCATGAGAGTAGTAACAATTCCAATTCTTGTGACTCTGAAGGGGGGGGGGGGGGGATTACTTCAGCAGGCTCATCCCCAGCCCACACATAGGCATGTGTCAAAAACCCCAACACAACATAGGCCCTTCTCCTCTCCCCCTCGCCCTCCAGATGGTACAGACTCAGCATTGGGAGGGCATCAATCACTCCCCGGACCGTCTTTGTGCGAATAAGCTCTGGCAGACTGTCTGCGACCTTCTCCCAGGGCTCATAGTAGGGCGACGAGATGCGTGCCACGGGGTCGACATTGGGCAGGAAGCCAAAATTGGGCGAGAGCCCGTACTCCTGCAGGGTTGGGATGGGTGGGATCATATTGAGTGATGGGTTGTGGCCGAGTGATGGGTTGTGGTGGTGGCGTTAGATGATGATGATAATGCCGGGAGATTGATAAGATAACAGCAGCAGCTACAGTAGCAGGGGTCGGCAGCAAGCAGGCAGGTAGACAGGAGCAAATCAGACCAGTCCAGTCCAAAAGAGAGAGAAAGAAATTTTTTTTATGAAGCGAGGGGTGGAGAGGTGGGATATATAAGTATATTTTTTTGAGTAGAGAGGCGAGAGGTATATAATAGTAATTAGGGAGGTGCTAACACCCGCGGCCCTGGCTGGGTGTTGTCTAACGGGCGGCGGATTCAACCGGTAATGGAGTTATGTCTCGGGCACACGCGGAGGCAAAAATAGGTATGTAGATGTCGACGGATGATGCCCGTGTGCAGCAGCAGCAGCCAGTGATATGGAATTATGTATGTTGGTTAAGTCTGCATGCGATGATAATGCTGAAGCGAAGAAGCAGTAGGAGGAGGAGGAGGAGGAGGAGGGGCAGGGCAGTATATGTAGGAGGTACTTGTTGTATGCAAGAGAAATAATACTAAGTAGCTGGTACTTCTCACTGACAAATAACTGTGGGGGGGTTTTGAGGGAGGGAGAGTGGAGGAGAAGAGTGGGGAGGAAAGAGGCGGAGAGAAAGAGAGAGAGTGTGATACGATATCTACATATACTTTTTTATCTTCCGGCCCCAACATGTCATGACGGAGAGATTTTTTTTTTCTCTCACAGGTTAACGTTGCTAGCTAGCGCGAATGCTGAGAAATCTCTCTTTTCTCTCTCCCTCGATCTTGCCCCCGGGAATAAGAGGGCCGCCGCCGCAACAGTCAGCCATCTAGAAACAAAACGGCCCGCTGCCGAATATGGAGGGGTTAATGGTGGGATGGAAGGGCTATGATGTGCTATGGAGAAAGGAGGAGGAGGAGGGGGGGGGGGGGGAGGGGTGGCATATGTAAAGCAAAACAGTTAGAGAGATTCGATACCTAGTTACCTTGGTGGCTCATTCCAGTTTTTTTTTTTTTTTTTTTTGCCTCTCCGATTTCCGGGTCCAGTGGATTGGCTAGCTAGCAATGGTGGATTGGTTTCTGGAGATCATTGGCCTTCTACAGCATCATCACCATCATCATCAGTCTCGAGGAGTGTAAGGTATTCTACATCTGGATATACGCACGATACGCACAGAGCAGCTACATACTCTACCATTCAGACATGTATGTACTCACACCGTTCTGTGAGATCATGAGTCGTGTGCGTTGCCTGCCTATGTACGATATACCCATACCCCATACCCATACCCATACCCAACCCAATCACTGACGCTGACATCTGATCCCCGGAAGAATAAATCAAACGGCGATATTCCAGGCGTTCCAGGCCTCTGTAAATGGCTGTTCGCGATGCTTGATTCCTGGCCTGCATGTTCGGCAATGCATCACTAAAAACAGCACTGCCCTGCACGTGAGCCTCCAACAACAAAGACCCCATCCCCATTAAGAGCATGCCTGCCCGGTTAGAAGCGGAGGGGTCCTGAGCGTACGTTTGTTCGTCCCTTTGACACGATCATCATCACGGTGAGGTTAATCTTGGTCTTCTGTTAGTTTGTGTAAGTTATGAAGTAATGCATGTAGTAGTAGTAGTAGTTCTGCAGCGGTGGTACATCTCTCGCTACCTCAAGTACTAGTACATACTTTTTGGGGTGTGCCGTGTGTCGTGAGTCTGTGTCTTGCTTTCGACTCTACTATCTTGTTTAGCTCACCACACAGCTACAGCACCAATTCTAACTGGCTAGCCTCCTCCCGAGGTGCGTTATTAAACACTCTTCCTACATTCTCCTCTACTCCACCACCACCACCACCTCCTCCTCCTCTACCACGACCAACACCTCCCCCTACGTACTTACTCCTCCTTTCTCCCCTCAGGTTAATTGCCTCAATCCAATCCAATTCATAATCCTCCGACCCCAATTCATCCGTAGAAACATGGGGAAACCTTCAGATGGCAACCCTTATGTACGTACCCATACCTTCCACCTTACCTATGCCTCACCTGGCCTGCGCATGTCCTACCTGCATATGTACATGATCCAATGGCCCGTGAGAGTGTAGCGACATGTAGCTCTTTCGTTTCGTTTCGTTCTCGCTGCATCGACCCAGAAAACTCGTACGACAGAAGGCCTACGTTACTCTACTCGCTAGCTCGGAACCGAACCGCCGGGATGCTCCAGCGAAACATTTTACCCGCCCTGTGACTGACTGAACTGAACTGACTGAATGACTGTTTGTAGACTGTCTACCAGTCAGGAAGCTTGGATGGATAAACCATATACTAACTCTTAACTTTTCTCCTAATTACCGTATAACAAGTACCACTACTACCAGCTATCTCTCCCCTCTGCTCTACCCTCTTCTCTACTCTCTGCAGCAAAAGAAAAAACAAATTATAGAAACAATTAATTTAAATTTAAACATACGTACCCACCCCTGGCCATGATGGCAGCTGCATCCAATTCCTGCCGGTATGTATGGTAGGCCATGATAATCGATCTACCCACCTCTCATCGACGATCACACCTGCCTTCTGCCCTGCCTACCGAAATTTTCACCCCTCCACCCCTCCTCCGCCGCGCGCTGTGGGGGCATGTTCTCCGGTACCTACACTTTAGAGCAAGGCGGCGGCTATCTACGACAGGCATATGCAAAGTATTGGCAGGCACTGGGACCTGAGGATCACATCCATCGCGTATAATTGTAGCTACATATCATACATATCTCCACATCTCCGGCCGTTGGATTTCGTGTTCAACTCAATTCAATTCAGCCTATCTACCTACCTATCCCTCTATTCTCCCTCCCCTTTCCTTTCCCCCACCGTAGAGGAGTACTATATGTAGAGTAAGCTTAGAGGCACAAAAACCACACCACAACACAACACAATACCACGAACCAGGCCAGCACCAACGCCGCCGGCAGATGGGGGCGGCGTCGATCCTTTATGCAAACCTCCCATGCACCTCCCTCTGTCCTTCCTCCTCGGACTCCTCCCAGGGTGCGATGCAGAAGATATCATGGCAGATTACTCTATGGTGAATTTTTAGATGTAGAGTGCATACATTATACATATGGTGAATTATGAATGCAATGCATATGCCCGCATTTGCACCTCTGCAGATGTCGCTCGTTATCCCTATGTATGCATTGCTTTTTCTTCACCAGAAAGCTTTTTTTTTTTTTTTTCCTTCCATGGGGCATACGTAGTGGGGGGATGAGGGGGAGCCGGAGGTCAATGATCGTCCCATATCTGTTTCAAACCCGGGATATTGCACTCTACCCATCCACCCCCTCCGGCCTCATACTCCTACATACTCCTACACACTCCTACACACTCCTACACACTCCTACTACTCCTCACACATCCTCAATGCAATGGCCGAAGAAACGCCGAGGCAAAGCATAACCGCGTGTAGGAACATAGAAGCGGCCTAGGAATCATATGAAGAAAAGAGCAATTAAGAAAAAGAGTGTTTCGATCCCCGGTCCTGCCCTGCCTGTTTGTTACACTGGCGAAGCACCACTCTACATGTCACATCCAGGATCTGCTCTACGTCCAGAATAGAAATAGACCGGGATGGGGACGAGTGACAAGACGCAAAAAAAATTTCTCATCTGTTTCTATGACCGGATGCTATCGCAATGCCTGACAAATCTCGGCCCGATCTATGGGATATGGGGATGAATCAGGCCGCACGCGGGATTGGCTTATCGTGGGGTAGACTTTTAAGCGGGTATGGATGCTGATGGGGGGGGGGGGGTTGGATTTCGTTCAATCAGATGCGCTCTACGACAGCCACGGCAGGGGATTGCAATTGTGGTGAATTGTGATGGTGAGCACGCGATATGGGATGAGAGGGTTAGGTTTGTGTATGTACCCATAACTCGTGCCGTCGGGTTTGTAATGGTGGCTTATGCCCACCAGCGAATTTGGGGGTGTGAGGAAACCCTTGCTTGCTCTTTGCCCGTTGGCCCAGATCTTGTACTCCTAGATCATAGATGTGTGTGCCTTTAGACAATAGTAGAAATTTTTTGGCCTGCTTTTTATACACTTCATCTACCCAGATTCGCCAACAAACGCCGGATCGAAAATAGCGATTAACTACAAGAAGGGAAACACAGAAAAAAGGAAAAAAGGAAGAAGAGAAAGGAAAACCGCGACTACTCCATCTAAAGCTATGCCTTCTCCTCTGAAGCAGCAGCAGCATCAGCAGCCTTCTTTTGCGACTTCTCCCACTTCTCAACTCTCCGCTTGATATCCCCCGCGCTCTGTTGAAACGGGTTCAACTTCCTGTCAAAGACCATCTTGTTATAGTCCTTCCCATACTTCTGTACCAGGGCCTCCACCCACGCCTTCTCTCTATCAGTCTGGTTCCTCTCGCGCCTAACTACAACTGCAGCCTGCGCCTCAAGCTGCTTAACAATATCGGTCCGCGTGTCCTCGATACCCGTAAACTCCTCCTCCTCGTCGTCGTCGTCGTTCAGAGCTTCCTCAGCACTCTTGCCATACACAATGTTGATGATGTTGCCGTCCTCGTCGCGCTCAATCAAGGCTTCGCCCGGTGCGAGCTTGGGCTTGCTAGAGGCCGGGGCTTTTGTACCAGCAGCTTTCTGGGCAGCGGCGGCAGCGAGTGAGGTTTCTTGGCCGCCGGCGCGGCCATTGAGGCGTGAGACGAGCCCGAGACGCTTGTAGTTCTGTGCGAGGGTTTGTTTCTTGTCCCTGCGGTTTGCCCATTAGTTTAAAATCTAGGAATATGGAATTTACTCCTTCTCGGAGGTGGTGGAACATACCAGTTCTGAGCGATCAGGGCATTGCCGAGTGGGCGGACTTTGTGCACACGCGGGTTTTTGCGCTTGGTCTTCTTGGGGATGGAGGATCTGTTCTTCTTCTTTTGGAGTTCGCGACCCATTTTTGCTGTAGTTCTGGGGGAGTTTGGTAGGTGGTGATAGTGGTGATAGTGGGATGGTGAGTTTGGTTTTTTTGGTGAAAAAAATGGAGCTGGGGTGCGGTGCCAAGAGTTTGTCGCCAAGGCTCATGGGTCGAGTAAGGATTCCTGACTAAACTACATATGTAGACTTGCGGGGTTGGGCTGTTGGGAGGTTCTCTAGGGCGTTTGGAGGAAGAATTATTAGTTGGACCTAGTTAAAAATTTGAGGTTAACTAGCTGTAGCTGGTGTCTATCGGAGATTTATACTTTTAATTAAATCATGGTGAATGATTTGGGATGCGAGTGCTGAGCCATGATGGAAATAAGGGTTGCAAGTACATGTTGCCGCATGCTCTCACGCACGTGGGGATATTAGAGCTTTGAGTAGAAAAAAAAGATCCGCACGAGGATAGATCGATTCGTGATGCTTATAGGCGTGCATTAAAATGTAGGTATATTCCTCGTCTTGAAGCCATCGAGCTAGATCTGTGCTTGCTGTAGGAAGACCTAATAAGTAAAGGGATGGATGATTCTATTGCGAAGGAGTGGAAGGGGCCGGCCTACTGATCTAGTTATACACAAAAAGGTGACACGTTTATATAGTTAAGCTAGACTGTGGACCAACTTACACCAACAATAACCAATACGTGTGGATACAAAGTTGCCATATCTTGCATGGCTTGCACCGCACTTGCTGTCGACCGCAACCGATATTTCATTCAATAACTGACTGGAGTAATATTAATCAGTTATCCCTTCCGCCGTTTTCAAGGTACGACCGTTTTTTGCTTCAGTAGAAAGTGATACTACTAAATCAAACTCTAGGTATTGCTATCACCCCTCTAGCTCTTACTATTTACTTCTTGATTTCCTGCTTAGATAGATCGACAGGCCTAAAGACCGGTACCTTAAGTACATGTTGTAGCTTTTATCTAGCTCGAGTAAGAGATATCGACATCATGATATCAAGTCCCAAATACTAAAAATTGATTCAGGAAATACTAATTATGATTTTAGGGGTCCTGCAGAATCTATCCTAAAGTTGCCCTATTGTGGTTCTCCAGTCTGTTCTGAGGCGCAAAAGCTGTCACTCATAAAAAAGACCAGGCCCCCCACCCTGCATGCGGCTCTTCACCCCACCACGCAGCAACCTCTCCTCCGACTGAAACCAACCCACTCTCACTACCAACCCAACTATCACCACTCCCCCGACGACCACCACCACGATGCCCGCAAGTGTCCCCTCCCCTCTAACCACACTAGACACCACTAACCCCCTCCCTCTGCAGCTAATAATCCTCTCCGGTTATCCCTGCTCCGGCAAGACCCAGCGCGCTCAGCAAATCCACACCCACTTCACCACCAAGATCACCACCTCCACCGACCCTCGAATCAAGCGCCTCAAAGTCCACACCATCAACACCTCGACCCTCAACCTCCTGCGCACCGTCTACCGCGAAGCCCGCACCGAGAAAGAGGCCCGCGCAACCGAATACAGCGCCGTCAAGCGCCTCCTCACCAAGGACGACGTCGTCATTGCCGACGGCCTAAACTACATCAAGGGCTTCCGCTACCAGCTCTTCTGCGAAGCCAAGGCGCTGCTCACGCCGAGTTGCGTAGTGAGTTCCTCGATTCCCATATTATGAGTGGAGCGGAGGAGAGCTGACGCTGGTAGAGGTCCACGTTGCGGCGCCGCCGGAGAAGTGTCGTGAGTGGAACAGCGCGCGGAAGGCCGCGGCCGAGGCAGAGAAGGAAGGCGGCAACGAAGGCGAAGGCGAAGGCGAAGGCAACGGTGATGGAATGCCGTATGAGGATGATATCCTCGAGAACCTCATCTTCCGCTATGAGGAGCCGAATGGTATGAGCCGGTGGGACAGCCCGCTATTTACGGTTCCGTACATCGATGAGACCCCCGACCTGGACGGCATCTGGGACGCCATGGTCGGGAACGCTGTCAAAGTGAAGGCCAACCAAGCCACCGTTCTCGTACACCCCCGCTTCCCTTCCACCCTTCTCCATCTCTAGTAGCTAAATAACACACCGCACAGAAACCGGCATCTGAAAGCGACTACCTCTACGAGCTCGACAAGACCACGCAAGACGTCGTAACGCTGATCCAAGAGCACCAGAGGAGCATTGGCGCAGGCGGTGGGAGCGTGCCGGTCGCGGACTGCGCGGTTGCGCTAGAGCTGCCGAGTAGTAGCATCACGGTGCCGCAGCTGCAGAGGATCCGGAGGCAGTTTATTGCGCTGAATAGGCAGCATGGCGTGGGCAAGGAGAGGATTAAGGAGCTGTTTGTCGAGTATGTTAATGCGCAGTTTAGGTAGTGTGAATTTTATCTCGTTTTTTTTTTTTGCTTTGCTTGGGAACTTTGGGTCATATGTATGGTCTTTGAGTGGGTGGGTGGAGGTGGGTACATTGCGTTATGAGCGCGAAAAAAAACGGCGTAAAATTGGAAGTCTATTGTTGCTGCTGCTGCGTGTATCGATTATCTAGTCCGCTATATCATTAGGTCGGTCATACTTGCTTGTGCATTTATTTGCACGAACTATCACTCGGTGTTGTTTCTGGACCCTAGACACCACCCCCCCCCCCCCCCCCTTCTCAAACTATCACTCGAAGTAGCTCCACCTATCACTCGAGGTCTCTATTCTATCCCCACCGGTTCTCCAATTATAGCTAGTAAAAATCCAACCAAACCACCAGCCAGCCATCCACACAGCAGAGCAAAAAGAGTTCGCAGCCTAGTGCTGCTACATCTCCTAGCTTGGTGATACTTTGTGAGGGTGGCTCGAGGCCAGAATGTTTTCTATACTGGGCTGGCGTGTGTGGTAGTACTGATGGCGGTTGGCTGCTGCACAGTGATGAGCAGCTCCTAATGTAGAATGAATTTCTCAGCTAAGTGGAGCAGATGAGCATGTATTTCCGTTCAAAGCTTTGATCACGTCACTTGCGTTACTTGAAGTACATAAGTCTCGCGGCCACGGTTGGGATTGTATGGCAAGACTACATGTAATGTAATGCATAAGTTTACCAGGTATTTACCAGGTATTTACCTAGCTACATGTAGTTAAGGCCTTAGGGAAGTCTACCGGCCTCAAGTTCTCTTGCAATCGGTTGATGTTGTTTATGTTTTGACAATACTTATGAAAATGTAAATCAAGGTAATGATAATACTACATGTATGGCTGGTCTGTACAATTAATACATGTAGGTGTCAATGATCAGGCGCAACAATCAAAAATGGGTGGAAGAATTTCAGATTATAAGCGGATGCAACCTCTCAGACAATTTTTCATAGCTACATGTACCTACATGTACCTACATGTATATTCTTATCATGTAATTATATTACTATGCACACCTGCAATCTCGAAAAGATCGATTGGGATCTGGTACGCCCCACCCCCCTACCTACTACGTTATCTCCCCCTATCAGATCCCTATTGATCTTCCAACAACAACACTACCTACTAATAAATTTAAGTCCTCTACCAAGACCACACAGCAGTAATAATGACAACAAAAAAAACCTCACCAATACAATACCCACCACGCGCACGCCAACCTGCAAGGCTCCCTCTCTCCCGATCGCTCAAAAACCGCACCTCATCCACCTCATCCCCATGACGTGCCTACATAGAGTACCCAATTAATCCCATATAGCACCTACATACTCGTAGCTTCACAGCGTTTCCGAACACGATCAATATTGCATGACATACAAAAACGTGGATTTGGCGCTTTTTTGCATGGTATGCAATAGCAGTCGTGTTCAGAAACATCATGAAGCTACGAGTACATATCAACCACCTTCCACGGTTAGAGTACGGTACAGATCGCGCTTATGCTTATGCACGCATACCTGCATACCATGCAGGCTGTCTCAAATCGGACCAGGGGTCCCGGGCCTTCCCCCCTCCCCCAGAAGAACCCTTAACCTAGATCAGTAGAACACCACTTAGGGTTAGGATTTTTCTTCAGCCCCGAGATTTTTTTTTCAGAGTTAATGCAATGCAGCCTTTTGTTAACGGTTACGTGTCGTTGGTGTGTTGTTGTGAGACCAGATCTAGATATGGCCCCGGGGAGCTTGACTACATAAGTTTTGTTGGGTGGTAGAGTAGTTAGGGTCGGAAGCGTGGGGTTGGAGAGTAGAGGGTAGGTACAGCACGAGGGGATGGTGTAAGTTATAATTTTGGAATCCTGGAACAAACGAAACATGTGGGTTTGAAATGAAACAAATGCCTAAAACTAAACTATAGCTAAACATGCAGGAAGAAAGAAGGAAAAAGACAGTGGTAAGTATCACACCCTAGCCCAACGCCAACACATAAACAACAAGGGGGAAATCCTTTTGCCAAACCCCATCATGAAAACTCACCCGGCCTCAACTGGTACTTCCTCTTGACTCTCCTCACCCACCTCCTTCTCCTCCACAAACCCCTGGCCCCCTGCTCTCCACCAACCCTATCATACACCCATCTCTCACCCTCCTCTTCAATCTCCACACCGCCAATGTACCTCTCCATGACCCACACTGTACTCCCCAAATCCAGGGTCCACTTCCCCTCCATCCACTCCCATCCTGGCGGACATCTCACATCCTCAAAAAATCTTGTCCCCTTTGGTCGATCACCCGCGATCCTGCTAGGTTCCATTGGCTCGTACGGGGTCGGACTAAAGATCCAGCTCTCGTATTCGCCCCCGGAGCCAGTGAGCCGTTGCAGTTCAAATACTTCAACCTCCCGCGACTCTGGGATCGCATCGAGGACAATATCAGAGTGGATGAGAGAATCCGCGGATGCCGCTGCGCGCGCTTCCTGGGGGCGTAGATGTGCTGCATGGAGGTCGAGAAGAAGCTCTTGGAGGGTCGGGTGGCAGAGCGCCAGTCCAATCCATCCAGAGATGAGGAAAATGAAGCGCCATGGAAGCGCAGATGCTGATATGAACAGAAGTATAGAGGTCAGTAGTAGGGTTATGAAAACTGCCGATGAGACGACTTCATCACTAAAGTTAGTTGGTGGACCGATCAATGATATGATCTTGTCATGGGCTATAGAGAAGTCATCCATGGTATTTTGAAGGTCGCGAAGATTGCGGAAGAAGTCTTTGCTCATCTCGCTAACTGCCTTTACCTCTGGAGGAGGCGCGATGGCTGGCCCGTGGGCGTTGTAGTTCTCCATGTGCAGACTCGGTGGTGGCGGGTGACGGATTATGAAGCTGGGGACCATGATAAAGAGGAGGACGCAGGCCACCGGAAGCACAGCGAGAAGGTAGGGGTCTAGGCAAACGAAGGAGTAGACAGCAAGGGCGGCGAGAGTGTGGGAGGGCTCCCGCCATTGGATGAGCCGTATCAAACGGTGCTGGAATACAAATACCACACCGATTCTACATATTACAGAGGTTAGAAAGGATAAAAGTGTCTACTTGCTGGTGAAAGAGCTTATCCCACGCTCTCAGGCCTGAGGACAGACTTTTCTCCCAGCAAGTACGATCACCAGATGAAGCTTCCTACCTTGCGTTGAATCTCCTGAAGTTACTGCTCATGGTCGTCAAACTAAACTGTGGCCTATCCTTATCCTTCCTCTTATCCCGTGTATCCGAATAGCTCTCCCACGTGTAGTCGCTTGGTAGCATTTGCTGCATGAGCTTCGCAAATATGCGTTCCTGCAGCCCCGAAGCACCGTGGCCACCTTCCTGTGTATCGCTGTGCGTGCTCCCGCTGTCTGAACTTCGTGACTTGTGGCGTCGGTGGTGCTTATGTGCCTGGTGGGCTGCTCCGGCCAACGTTTTCCCGATATCGCGAAGGCTGGGTGATGGTGATGTGGCACGGCGACGGCGGGCGCCACGGCCAGCGTCATTTTCGGAGTCGCTCATGGAGTATCTCCGGTTACGGAGACTTGGGTCATAATCGACCAGGAGCGAGTCGTCCATGGATTTTTTCTGGTGTTTGCAGTGGTTTGTTTGCGGGAGTTGTGGGCACTTGTAAGAACGGTTCTGGCCGGTTGACATGTGAAGCCAAGCTGGCTTGATGACGTCGGGCGACGGTTCTGGGAGAGCTGTGTTACCCGGCGATTACATATTTTGCACTTTTTTGGTTGGATCACGTGACAGATGTAATTGTTTCCAGTATGGAGAGTCTCGAATACAAAGGGAAAGGGATTGCCGAATCTAAAGCTGGAGGTCAGAGTGGGTCTTGGAGACAAAGCTTCATCTGTGTATTGGAGGGGAAGAAGCTCATACGTGCTGATCTGTTCTCACAAACACGGAACCCCTCTCCCCCCTTTGTTTCAATTCTTCGTGGCTAGCTTTCTATGTAGATAGATGATGGGTGCAGAGGGAGTCATTCTGTCAAAGTATCGTGAGGTTTGCATTCGTGAGTGAGGTGTAATGTAGGTCGTTGCTAGGCGGCAGGGCCAGTAACAAATGGACATCACATCTCAGCCACGTGCAGCCGAAAAGGGTTATAGCCTGTGGGGTTGAATGGAACAGTTCCCGAACTAAACCCACTGCAGGTAAAGTAAATAAACGAAACACTCGCTAAGACCAGCGCAAAGCAGACATCGCCACGGCAACCAGGCAGGAAACCCCGGCACCCTTTGGAAATCCTCCTACAGAACGAAGGACTGCTGGCAGTTGCAGAAATGTGTGCATTGTGCAGCTGGCTAACCAACCACAGCCAGGAATGGTAGCAGAGCACCACAGAAGGGTTTCTCTTGCCAGTGCTGCCTTGCCCAAGGGAGAGGTGTTGTTGGGGTGCAGTGCAGTTGCTGCAGCAAGACATCAGACATACATACGGACGAAAAGAAGAGGAATAAGAAGAAGAAAGAGTTGGCTCATCAACTGTCACCAGTTGATCTCCCCTGAGCTTCTCCCGCTTCTTCCCCTCCACCTGCGTTTATCGTTACCTCATTGCTCTCTTCAACCAGAAAGGGAAAGTAAGCGAAGAAGGAGAAGGGGGAGAAAAAAGAAGGGAGGAAAAAAAGGAGAATTCATAGCATCCATTGGAGAGAAGGAGAAGAATTGGAAAAACAAAGTAATAATAGGAACGAGCCCGACAAGTGTTTTTGATGTAGCTATCCATAACTATCTGTGCGTTTCCCGGAGCACGACAGGTACAGCACTGTAGATTACAGGGAATACATAGTAGGTTGAGAACGTTCTTCACCGTCAGTCACTCCATAATTCAGTCACCGAACTTCTTGGGGAAGTTACAATACCAGTTTGCTGGCCGGTGTCACCGAGGGGAAAGAGCCTCTCTCCACTTCGTCCACTTCTTCTATTTTCACAGGCCTCAGAGAGATTTATCGATCGACTACATACTCTTGCTGTACTCTCTGCCCGCGCATTCCCTTCCTTTCCACTTCACATCATACATACTCCAACTCATCTGTCGTTCTTCTTTGGGCAGCTCATCTTGGCCCGTTTATTCATCTCCGCAATGTGTCGCGGCTTCCACACTTAGCCATCCAGACAGCAACATCCATTAAATACTTGCTTGTACTTACATATCTGCTCCTCGCCGCTGTCTTAGCAACGAGTTCTTGCCCAAAGGGTTGTTGTGTGTTGCTTGCTGCTGCTCCTCATCTCATCTCGTCGCCCTGGAAATTGTAGTTAATTCTTTTCTACCTATTCTGGATTTCTAGACCCTGAACTCCTTGTCCAGAATATTTCCTTTCATCCTTCCGCTCTTTTTCAGGGTCCTAAAATATTTTCTACAACACCCCAACCCTAGTAACTTTCATTCCCCCGTTACACTCCATTTCATTCGTTCATTTACTCTCGCTCGTCTACGGTTATCCACCCGTTCAAGGCCTAGTCTGGGTTCACTCCCAACCCCACCCCTTTTCATACTCCACGGATTCAATCATCCACCCCCATCCCATCCTTTCCACACAAACAAAGTTAGTGAGTTTTGAGTGTGAGAGAGATAGAGATAGAGAGAGAGAGAGAGACGTCAGCTCCTTTCACTGTTGTTGCTGCTGCTGCCTCTCTATCCCTCTAACGTAGTCCCTCCACTTACCCAGTCTAACCACTCCCACCACACCAACACTTGTGTTGCCGGTGACCGTAGTGGCTCGTCATGCCGGTTCGAGTCTCACAGCAACCGCCTACATCCAATAATTTGTCCAATTCATCTACCACAACAACCACAACCACAACTACCTACTCCCTTCGTCGGGATTCGCCTGCATCGTCTCGGGGGGACGATTCGAGTACTAGTTCTATTTCATTAGGTATGAGTGGCCACCACTATCCCTCGGCAGGAAGGAGAGATGAAGGGGGAGATCTTCTAACATTAATTTGTGCAGTAGATGGAAGACAGAGGAAACGCTTGAACAAGACAACCTCGGACTCCCACACCTTACCTCGCTCGAAACCTTCGTTACGAGAACCTCGATCATCACCAAAGACTACTACTACTACTACTACTACTACTACTCAACGTGCCCAGCGTCATGAGCAGAAGCCTATGAGTAATAAGGCTTTGGACTTTCAGAATTCAAGATCGTAAGTTAAGCTCCGTCTGGTCTTACACGGACCACCGCATCCCACCCCCTTCCCCTTATCCCAGTCTCTGGGATTCTAATAGGATCCCCGTGAGTTTACAGTGACAATGCTAGTGTCTCCTCCTCGAATGCCCTCGCCAATAACAACAATCCCAGAACCTTCCTACATCCACCGAACGGCCACGCAGGGGCAAATGTAACTACGTTTTATGCTTTTGGTCAGAATTCACTAAACACGCAGCAACCCGCAGAACCCCTTGGGGAACCATTTGATTTTTCGCCTTCAGGAAACTTGGAGGACATTCATAGGAGTATCATCGATACAGAGCAGCTCAGCCAATTTCCAACACCGAGACGGGGGAGAGGAAACACAGACGCGATGGAAGAGAACCATCACAGAACTCAACCAACAACAATGGAGAGCCGACCGGCAGTTTTGCGACGACCAAGTGTCTCGAATAAGAATGTGAACAGTCAGGGACCGACCCATTATGAGCAGCGAAGTCGTCGCCAGAGCAACGCGCCTACGCACCAATCCTCGAATAACTCCCTTTCGTCAACTTACCGCAAGTCAATGGCAACAACAGATACCGAGAGCTCAAAGCGGAGGAGGCCAAGTGCGGCCAATAGTTCGCTTACACCACCAGTTCCAAAGGAGTACGTGCCTGGTAGTGGGTACTCCTCCAAGACTTCTGATGCTGTTTATAAGGTCCCTGCATCTTCTAGGACTGCAAAGTCAAAGTCTTTACAACCGCCTGCACGACATCAGGGGCAGTCGAAGCCATCGCTATCTCCCGAGCATGGTCGTGCTCAATCGATGGCTTTCCCCCCAAAATCCCCTAAATCGCCGAGTCTGTTGAATAAGCTAGGAGCCACGAAGCAGGGCGGTATTCCATTATCTACTTCCTCGCGAAGAATCTCAACAATTCCCCACGCCTCAGGCCTGGGTGCTAGAACAGTTAGCCCTACTGACGCGAGGCGCGCGAAGCGCCTCTCAGCTATCCACTCCCCAACTCCCCCTTCCCTACCCTTACCCGTAGAAGATGCGCGATCGGCTCCAGGTAGCCCATCAATGATACCAAGAAAAAGCGTCACACCATCATCCTCAGGGACAACCCCCGAGCCCCAGAGGAAATCTTACAGTTCAGGTTTATCGACCGCGTCTACAAACACATCGGCGCGAACATCCATCGGTTCTTTACAACCGAAATTAAGTCAGAATCTAGCTGTCTCACGGTTACCCAAACCGCCTAGAGCTACTGTAGAAAGAGATGAAGAGATCCCCCCTGTTCCGCCTTTGCCGAAGGAATTGGCTTCCCCTATGGTTGCCAATTTTAGCGATGCAGGTTACAACTCCAATAGTAACGGCAGGAAGAGCGGCAATAGCACCAATGGGTATTTCGGACCGCGGAAAGACAGTTTACCAACAGAACCGGAGCTCTTCGACATGGAATCTGATGCTTCTTCGAGGCCAGCAGTGCCGGAGAAGCAGAAATTTTCCGAAAAGACTGAAAAATCGGGAAGGACGTCGAAGGAGAAGTCGCCGGAGAAGACTACAAGGGCCGACAGAGAAACACGGCGAAAACGTGGAATGACACTGGGTGGTATGAATGTGGGGCAGGGAACGCAAACTCTAGAGTCCAAGAGCTCGTCTTCCAGCTTGAGGAAGAAGGACCTTGTCCCGCTGCGCCTTCCGCCTTTGAATTTGTTGCCATTGAGCACCCCGACAATTGCTCGAGTCAATGCTTTGGGCCCCCATTCAGATTCAGATGAGCTTACGCCACCGCCGAAACGTAGTATCAAAACGCCAAGCACACCGATGACCGCATCGAAAGCTGGTTTCTTTGGAAAAGGGAGGGATAGGGAAGAGGCGGCATATAACCGAGCAACCAGCTCTTTCAACCACCCCACACAGCCAGCTGAAGATAGTCCCTCAAGTCTTTCATTGAGGGCGGGCTCAAGTGCAAGCAGTAGTATTCCGGTTTCAGCAAGCAGCAGGATGGGAAGGCAGACCATCAGCCCATATGTTTCGCACTCACTCCCGAAGGGTACTCCGACTGGGGAATTTGAAGGGGAGGGCAAGGATCATAAGGGAAGACTCATTGGAGTGACTTTGGGTGGCGGAGCTACGAGGGAAACCAATAACAAGAGCAGATCCAGGAAGAGCCAGGAATCAGTGGGGGGTGCACCAGTAGTTGAGGAGACACCGGGTACCCCTACGAGCGCAAGCTCAATCAGGAGGAAATTGAGCTTGAGCTGGAAGAAGAGCAGTTCTAGTAAGCACAGCCATGCTGCGACAGAAAGAGCTGAGGAATATGCGCCGCAGAAATACGATACTGCACAGAAGTTCGATTCGATGCCGCCACCCAAACTTCCGAGCTCTGCCACATGGTCAGCAACAACGAGCCACCCGCCAAGCCCCGTGAGAATCCAGAAGGTGGCTACTTCCGGAGGAGTTCAGAGTAGAAGAAAAAGCTCGATTGGCAATGGTGTTAATCTTTCAGAAAGTTGGTGTAAGGAGACTATTGCATCCGAGAAAAGGTCTACGGAAAGCGTGGTTTCCCAACAAGCCCCCCCGACGCCTGCTAAAAATTCAACTGGAAGCTCAATTTTGGGACCAATGACGAAAATGCTGAGCAGCAAGCATTCTTTAGGTCAAATGAGACACAAAACTCAACCTGCAGTGCCGGCGCATGCAGATCCCACTATGGATCATGACGATCTGATGGCAGAGGATGAGATGAGGAAGATAGCGAGCAAGCGAAAGAACTTGGATGCTATGGCTCAGGAATTGGAGGAGTTGAAGCGCCGTGCAACACCAAAGGAACGCGTTTCTCCCCCTCAAGCTCTTCGTTCAATCCCCTTGAACATCTTTGAACGCGGCGAAATCGTCGATTATAAGGAAATCTATTTCTGTGGAACCTCTGATGCCAAAAAGCACGTTGGTGATTTGAACTCGACAACCGCGCCTAACTTTGGATATGATGATGAGCGTGGTGATTATATGATAGTAAAGGGTGACCACCTGGCATACAGATACGAGGTAGTTGATGTGCTTGGTAAGGGAAGTTTCGGACAGGTCGTTAGATGTGTAGATCACAAGACTGGAGGTTTGGTAGCTATTAAGATTATCAGGAACAAGAAGAGATTCCATCAGCAAGCTTTGGTGGAGGTTAATATCCTCCAGAAGCTGAAGGAATGGGTATGCAATCATGTTTCCTCGGCTGAGAAGTGCTTTATTAATGGTATATTATAGGATCCACATGGCAAGCACAGTCTTATCAATTTTACCCAGTCATTTTACTTCAGAGGACATTTGTGCATCTCGACAGAGCTGCTTGGAATGAACTTGTACGAGTTTATCAAGTCAAATGATTTCCGCGGATTCTCGCTGCGGCTCATCAGGAGGATGACCAAGCAGATGCTGAGTAGTTTGGTGCTGTTGAAGGGAAAGAAGGTCATTCATTGTGATTTGAAGCCCGAGAACATTTTGCTGGCGCATCCCATGCGTTCAGAAATCAAGGTCATCGATTTTGGAAGCAGTTGTTTTGAGCATGAGAAAGGTACCTTTATATTCTCTATTGGTATTTCTTTTTATTGATACTAATGAATACTTTAGTGTACACGTACATCCAGTCTCGTTTCTATCGTTCACCTGAAGTTATTCTTGGAATGACCTATGGAATGCCGATCGATATGTGGAGTTTAGGATGTATCTTGGCTGAGTTGTTTACCGGTTACCCCATCTTCCCAGGAGAGAATGAGCAGGAGCAGCTGGCTTGCATCATGGAAGTGTTTGGACCACCCGAAAAGCACTTGATTGAGAAAAGTACAAGGAAGAAGCTGTTCTTCGGTATGTGGCTTTGTTTTCTTCGTTCTGGTTCAGTGGCTAATAGATTTATAGATTCTTTTGGGAAGCCGCGAATGATCGTCTCGTCCAAGGGCAAGCGAAGGAGACCTAGCTCCAAGACGCTTCAGTACGTCTTGAAGTGTGATGATGAAGCATTCCTCGACTTCATTGCTAGATGTCTTCGCTGGGATCCGGAGAAGAGGCTTAAGCCAGATGAGGCCATGCACCATGACTTCATCACTGGCCGTAAGGCCACAAGGCCAAGAACGGCGACCGAGTCACCGATAAAACGCTTCAATACCTCGAACTATGGAACATCGACTTCTTCCAGGCCGCTTCCTGACCCACCTGCCGCTAAGCCCAGGATCACTCACGGGTCGTCAACAACCCAAACCTCCAATGCATCGCCAATGAAGGGTTATAGTTCAGTCAAGAGGAACCCTAGCACAGCAGGGGCAGGGGCAGGGGCGATTTCAGGAACAAAGAGGAATTCCATGGGTGGAGCAGCAGTACAGAGTGGGCTACCAAGGGTTACAGCGGCTCAGAGGAGTGTAAGCGGAAAGGTGCCAACGCCGTCGTCAAGTTCTCACGGTTTAAGAGGGTCTGCGGGAACTTCATCCTCGATTCGTCTGGTTAGGGATGATGAGTCGAGTGACAGCCAGACAGCTCAAAACACACATCGAAACCAAAATCGATGATTATGATTGAAATGATTATTACATGACCCTTCTCCCGCCTCTATACTTGTTCTTGTCCTTTTTTTTTCTTGTCGATTTTGCCATGTTTAATGATCATTCTCAAAAAACCTCTTTTTTATCTTTTTTTTTCTATTTTCGCGTGAGGGAGTTTTTTCTTTTAACGGTTTCTTTCTTTTCTCTCCTCTCATCACCGCGGTACTGGGCAAGGCTGGGGTTTCATCATGTTAAGGCTTTTTTTCTGCGTCTGGTCGAGCATCTTCTTTTTTTCTTTTTTTGTCCCATCGTTCTTATTACTTATACATACTACGTACTTTATTTTTAATATCAACAGTGCGGTGGGAGAAAAAAAAGAGAAAACGAAAAAGACCAGTCTTTGTTTTGTCCTCTCGGTGTTTGTTGAGAAAAAATGCGGGCCAATGTGCTAATTCTCTCCTTGTTTGTTTTCTTGCGCGGACGGGATGGGTGGGATAATACCCGGGTTATTTTTTTTATACCACTTACTTTCTTTCTTTCCTTAACTTTTACCTACCCATCTCGTTTGACCTGGTTTCTTGTTATAATTCCATTTTGCTGGGGTGTTTTTTTTCTTTCTTTTTCCTTACTCTATTTTTGGGTCCGGTTTCTGTTGGCGGGTGATCAAAAAAAAATTTAACTTGTTAGTATTCTGTCTATCTATATTCTGGATGTATTTGCCTGTCCTGCTGGTTACTACTGAAATGTCACAGAGGGTGGTTTGTTGGTTTGGGGGGTGGGTGGGGACTTTGGTGGCGTGGAGGGACGGATGGAGGGTTGGGTTGGGTTGGTAATTGGGTCTATCTATTGATATGATTGATACCTTTCTAGCTGCTCTATAACTACTTACATGATATACACAACACACACACACCACACACACACACATGCACATTTTACACCTCTCCTTGATATCCATACGTTATCATTCATTATGCTTGCATGCATCCACCGTTTTGTTACTCCCTCGTTTACGTTTACTTGGCTGCTTTTGAATACATGTATCTGCTTGGCGGGGTGAATGGGGTGGGGGGGGTGAAACGGGGAACGGGGAGCGATATCTGCACTTTGGCGTGGTGTGTTGAGATGAAAGGGGGGAGTGGGGGGGTTGTATATATAACAGTATTCGCATACCTTAATGTATTTCATATGTGTAGATACTTTATCCATGTACCAGCGCGTTCCCCCTCATGTACTTACATGTATTCCTCGTGATATGAAACGACCTCATCCCGGATCACGAAATATCACTCGACGACATTTCCGGCTGGTTTGTATATACTTACAGGGATCATGGGTTGAGGAGATCGTGGGCGAAGGGACATCTGTACGAGGTGAGTGATTGGCTGTGACTTTGATCGATTGATAGACAGGGAGGGGGCGCGCAGGAGTATTATTTGTGTAGAGAAAATATTTGTTAGGGGTCTATAGTTTTTCTTGTCTGTTTTTATAGAATAAAAGTCTTGTTTTGACATCAATGCAAAAGGAGAGGATCATAAGCAGAATTTTGGACTGTGAGCACGCATGCAGTCGATTGGTAAACCAACGATGAAATGAAAACCAACAAACCTACCCCGCAAAACAACCCACATTATGTAACTAACGCTACTAAAGTAAGACATAAAACCACCCCACAATTATCCAAACCTAAAAACACCAACCCGCACTCCACACGACGCCCTAAAGTTGAAATAAGAAGTGGCGGATCGCCACACAACCCACCATCCCAAAGAAGCAGTGTCCGCCCCACCTATCTCACTAAACTTTTAACTTTACACCGACGTCTTTTGCAACTCGCGAGGCATTAATTTTCCTCGTATGCGCGCAACTATGCCTCACCATGGAACCACCGCCGCCGCCGAGGAAGGATTGAGAGGAAAGTTAAAAAGTTAGAGAATAAACTGTGTATTTCTACCCATTCTGATAAGATGTAAAAAAATATATCCCCGAAATTATTCTACTCTAATGATAGTTGTGATAGAAAGGGATGAGAAGGAGAAGAAGACAAGGAAAGGTGAAATCGGAAAGAGAGCTCGTCGGTGGTCCTCCACCGAAATTAAGCCCTAAAAAACCAAAGCACCCACCTAACAGAGTAACCCTACAGTTCTCTGATCCCGGGCCCGATATGAGGGTATGGGAATAAGAAATGGAATGATTGATGTGTAGAAATGAAAACTCAAGAATTAAGAAAGAGAAAAAGGAAAGAAAAAGCATATGCAACGCCCCAGCCGTTCAACTTTTACCAAAGGAAAGAAGAAAATAAATTTACAAAACAAGATCTTTAGCTAACGATCCGGTCTCCCCCACATGGGAGCGTTTGATCCCGTGGAGGACGGCATCAAGGACGTTCTTGGCGATTTGCCTTGGCTCATGAGCGGGAACAGATCCGGGGGCGTATACACCGGTCTCAACTAGAATGCTGTACCATTCCTCATCAACGGTTTCGTGGTATTCGTTTGTTCCCTTGATGTCTATTTCGTCTCCAGGTTAGCTACGTACTGATCAAAGAGAGAATAGAGGAATGATTAGGTACGAACCTGATTCACAAGTATCACCAACAAAGTAAACTGTCTTCGGGGCTCCCTTGGCTCCGAACCTAGATTCACGCCATTGCTCAAGAACACGGGTTGCGAACTGATATGTTCCAATCTGCGGCTTCCCAAAGGCTGTCGAGGTCTTCAAGTTCTTTCCGGTCTGGTGCTTGTACATGGACTCGACAAAGACCCTGAAAGCACCCATTCCATATCTGTTGAGCTCATAGTTGGTTGCCCAAACTACATCATTGTGGCTCCAGTAGATTGGTGGTCCCTCCTCAAAGGTCTCTGACACAGTCCCCATGCGCCCATTTTTAGACATGAGGAGTTCCAAAATGATCTGGGCATCGTCACCCCAATGCCTACTGTCCGCAAACACAAAGATAGCCTCAATCTCGAGTTCTTCAAGATCAAGCTCCTTGCAAGAGTTGTGCTCGGAGTCTTTGAGTTTTCGGAATGGGGTAACGGCAGGGTTCGACTTCATGAGGTCACCTGGGGTAACGATGTTCTTGAAGCCATACGTCTTGGCAACGTCCCGGCACTTTTCACCCTCACCTCCCACTACAAGAACGGTCCCGTAGACATCAGCCATCTCTCGCATAGGAGAGTGTCCGCAAATAAATTGATCGGGGGACACAACAGTTTCGAGCTGTTTGCTAAGGTCCTGGCATCGTTCGGCCTCAGTTTTACCACCACCCTATTTATCATTAGTATTGTTTCCTGATAAAATATATAAAGTCTGGCCGAAGAACAACTCACGTTTGTAACAAAAATATACGGAATATCAATCCCAAATTCGTTTTTTCCATTCAAGACCTTAAGAGCCTCCACAGCCTCTGGAATTACTTCGCCCCCCTTGAGAAGTACCCCATCGATGTCGAATGCAAATGCAAAATCCGGCACAACTTTCGTCACGGGGCTCACATTAGGTGAAGGATAGCAAGACATATCCCAAGAGGTTGCGCTATCAGAGAACTCTGAGCTCGAGGCTGTGTCCTCATCGACGGGACTTGCAGGTGCAATCATGCTACCAACATCTGCACCCGCACCCGCACCCGCACCGATGCGGAGAGACTCTTGGAGACTTTCTTTGGTAAGGGGGTTCGAGACTCGAGTGATAGTTTCATTCTCGGAGTCAGTAGAGTCCCTTCGTGAAATGATTTGAGGCATGTTTGTGGATTTGATGGTAGGTTTGGTACGAAAAGGCTAGTGAAATGATGGAACTGTGGAGTATAAAAGCCGAGGGATTGGGCCAAAAGAATTAGAGTAAGAAGCTGCTGTTTGGTAATGATGTACTGTGTATGAATGAGGTAGTAATATAGTGAATTGAGTAGAAGCTTTGAGGGGGGGGCTTAGAACCTCTTTATAACTTTGAAGCTCTCACCTTTAATCCACTATCATCCCACACACAGGGCTATCCCGCTCTAGCTATTCAGAAGATCCCTATACCCAATATTACTTTTCCTGCCACTACTCCAGTATCCAGTAATATCTTAGTCTTACTAGTAAGGCAAAGCAGCAGATCGTCACTGCCTTTTCCGTGGTGACATCAGAAGGGATTATTAGTCAAGTTTCGAAATATTAGGATTAGATCCAAATTTTTGATTATTCGGTAGGCTCCTCGTTCCCGATTGAAGTATATACCCAGATGGACAAATAACAATTACAGGGTCTGCCTGCAGTAAAGGGATCGAGGAATTGTACATACTAGTAAAAAAAAGAGATGAGAGGGTAGAGAAAAAGCTGTGATTACTATACTTGCCAATCCACTCATCCAGCCAGTATATAGCTCGCACGCGCCGTTCTCCGAGGTACGTCCCCGACCAACAGCAGCAGTAACATCAATAGCGTATAACCTTTCTTTCTACATACTTGTGAATCCCAAAACACATGTAGCCGGCAGGTGTATGTTCAATGACGTTTATCTGTAGATAAGTAGCATAGCACAACCCTGCACAAGTCGGCAACATGCATACAGGGTGTTGTGGCTGCAGTGGGCGTGTAGATCATCCACATGTGGCACGCTGATCCGGTATGTCGTAAAAACGTCTTTCTTGCCGTCGCCCAATCCTCTCTTTCACGGCCTGCCAGGTCCAAGAATCAATCAGATCAACCACGTCCCTGGGCGAGACCCTCTCGCTGGAAGAGCCGCTGCCCAGCCCTTTTCAAGATCGACTTACGCCATGCCCGGAATAATTCCCTCAGCCCGTACCTCCTGTAAATCATCTCTTTTTCTGTTAGCCGCAACAACTGATATCTTCAACCGCCTAGATACTATCATGCTATCCTATGAACGCGGATGCGAGCATTGAAGGGAAAAATGATGACTGGAAAACAAGGAAAATTTCCACCTCAACCAACATCTAAATGAATGCGAAAAAATACTCATCGGCCGGCCGTAGCATCCCATCGGCTATCCAGGAGGGAAAAAAAATAGATGTCAAGCTCCAACCAGGATTGTATTCGAGATTTCAAACCCTTAACCAAGTGAAACCCATCTTCCCGGCATGTAAGTATCAAGCCTCTGCCGGCCGGTTATCAAACACTGCAACCCCCCACCAACCTGGAATGAGAGTGGGCCATATGTGCAATGACATCTATTAATACTTGAGAAGGAGACAGAAGAATGGGCTCGAGTTTGGGAGTTGCAAAAATAAATCCCGAGATAACCACAGATTCCGTCCGATTTGTATCTCATATCATCCTTTAATTCCTTTCCTGGAGTCCAGGTATGCACGCACAACGTCACTTACAACACCATGAATTTTCTCAAGATAAGCAGTGTGCCACTATGCAGAGTTTCTCAAAGAAATGGACTAGCCGGTGCGAATTCGGCGTTCAAGGCCAGTAACGAGGCGCTAATTTCTTGCGATTCTGGAATATTTTCTGGGAAGTAGCACAATTTTTAATATTTCCAAACCATTATATATTAAAGTCGGTGTTTGTTCGGGATTCCCGGTGGTGAGAACACTTAGGGTTTAAGATCATCATTAGTATTCAGACCATAGAGTAAGCCTGATATCGGCGTACGTTGACGACCAAGTATTGAACCCCTAACAGATAGATGCCCCCAAACATATTTGTTGCAAGGCCTACAGTTCTATTGGTGAAAAACAGCGGTCCAGATAAGTCTTTCCTAGATCGTTCCAATCCCGGGACATGTACAGAAAAATGGAAATACCAATAGTAGGTCTGTGTACACACAAGCGAAACCAAAATGTCTGTTTAACTGATTTATACCCAGCCCCACGAGCCCAAGAAACCCTTAGTGACAGATCTCAAGGTGCATGCAAGAAACTTACCATAAAACTGGGCTCGAGCACCATACCTACTCGGTACACTCAGTTTTAAGCTCTGCTCGGAAATGATCGTAGGCCCGACACGGCTTACTCCCCCTCACGGCATCTATCAACCCCGATTTTCGCGAATCGAACCCACCTAAACTAAGGTCAGTCGGTTAAATGAACTATTCGTTACGGGTTAGAAATGCAGAGATTGTAGATAGTTACCGTATATATCAAAGCCCTCACGCCCCACTTCCTCACCGCAAACTAGACCCCATTCTAGAAGATCTCCTCTCCACTGGCCTCCGGGCAGAAGAGATATTCACATGCATGCGGTGCAATTCAGTTATGATTCCAGGCCCTCATGGGTTCCTGGGCGCGAGATGTAGTCATCGGAATGCGCAGCGGCAATGTAATGGGGAGTCAATTAATCGAGTCGCCAAAAATGCAATCTTGCAGGCCGAATGAGTTTTTTTTTCATGCGGGCATGCGGCTACCCGCAGCGTTGTGCGGCATCGCAACCAACTATGGACATAGCTACTTAGCCACTCCACGTGTGTATTTCTAGTTTTGTCGATCTTATGTTATTTTACCTTACATGCAGGGATCTAAAGGGGAGACGTGTCGATTTTTCTCGATGTTCGTATCGAACCGGCTAGAACCTCCACTGCGGGTACCGATTTATGGAGAGAGCCGTAATGTACACCAAGTAAATCAAGTACATCTATTCCGACATTGAATGGTCGCTTCAAGTGCACTAATCAGGGTCTCGAGTGGAAGACGTATTCCTGGTTTTGTTTACGAAACCACCAGAACATCCTGGGACGTGAAGCATAGCTAGGCTTATTTATGACAGAAAGTCCTAAGAATAATTATAAGCAGTGCAATTCATGACAAGAGCGCGATCAAGTGCCTACCATAATACGTAAAGAAAATAAGCCCAAATATTCCTGATAAAACCTTTCTATCTAAGTGTTGAAGAGATGTAATAATACTCTATGTTAAGCTTAAGCCCAACTTTATAGTTGACAGATCAGAATTAACACGTATCCACACAGTATGAGTTGCGGTGGTTGACAGAATTCCCTCATTGACTATACGTAGTAATAATAATAAAGGGAGAGTTATCCTCTTAGTGGAGTCGATTACTCGCCTATGCCATGGCTCGATATTCGAAGATGGTTATTGCGGTCGTTTCACAGCGGAGTGTTTGTGAGAGTTTCTTGGGATGAGTACATGTAGACTGGACCGTCAATTAGGCGATGATTCTAAAGACAAAGAGCATGAACCTCATAAATTACATGTAGTTGAGTGACCACTTGTCCGCACCACGCGTCAGGACAACTTGCTTGTTAACTACAATACCTGTACTAGCGTGTGTTGAAAACACCATCGAAAGTACGACTAAGAACGACATCTAGATCTTACTTGATTGACTACTCTACCTAATATTTCCCCCACTATGTCGATAAAAATCCATAGGGAAGAAATCAGCTTCTTATCCCTACTTCCAGCCTACATACTTCACAGCGACGTCCAAACGCCACGCCGAGTGATACCCGATGATGGCCATCATCGTGGACTTCGGAGTTTAGTACCTACCATTGCAGTTAGCGGTGTGTCACGTGTGTGTCACGTGTAGGTTAAATCCTCACGAGAAAGCCCTTTTTCCCTACTCTACAGGAGCCCAATGTTCGGGGTGGCGGGTATATACATCGCGACCACATACACATAAGGCATCTCACGATATCCTGCAGGGCCAAACTCTTCTCGCTTCCATTAATTAATTCAGCCTGTGTTTTGCGGAAGATTACCCGGCCCGGCCGTTGCTCAAGTGTCGCTTAACGGAAGGGGGGTTAAGGAAATTAATTGGGCGGGGGAAAGCAATTACAACGAGACGAGAACTCTCGCAGAAAACCGACACACCTAGTTGGACTGAGGAGAATTCAAGTCAATTGAACTTCCAAGCTTCCCTTTCATACACCATAATCTTCCAGACATGGCTCCAAAGGTATAAGAACTCCAGATTTCTCTTTTGTTTTTGGTGGGGTCATTATTTTTGCCCCCACCTTCTTCTTGCATGCTCTGCGCACGATTTCTAAGCAGGATGAAAAACAGGTCAATATCCAACCCGATTTCGCGACGGTGTATGATTTCATAACCAAAGCAAAGAGTCAAGATGGCGCACAAGCTCCAAACATCGTTCCTCTTTTTGCGCAGATTCCGGCCGAGTTCTTGAACCCCTCGAGTGCATACCTTAAACTGAGTGCAAAGTGAGTCACAGTAGCAGTAATAACCTCAAGCAAGTTGGAGGTATATCATTAATTGTTTTTTTAGGAGCAAAACCAAGCAATCTTTTCTCTTTGAGAGCGCCTCAAGTAGGGAAACAATCGGGCGCTACAGTTTCCTTGGATGCGGTAAGTAGCAGCCAGAAGATTAGAGACCCTCTCTCTCTCGACTTCTAACTGACCCATCCTGACCAGACCCCCGCAAGGTGATCAAAACCGGCACCGGTCATGGCCCCGAGATCGACCCCCTCACAGAGCTCGAAAAAGAGCTCAACCAGTACCGCGTGGCCAAGATTCCAGGTACAAAGCTCCCGCCCATGTCGGGTGGAGCGATTGGTTACGTTGCATACGACTGCGTCAAATACTTTGAGCCCCGTACCACTCGCCCGCTCAAAGATATCCTCAAAACGCCGGAATCGCTGTTTATGCTCTGCGACACCATTGTCGCCTTTGACCACTTCTTCGCCTCGATTAAGGTGGTAACCTACCTCAGCATTCCCGACGGCGACATTTCCCAGCCCGAGTTTACCGCCCTCTACGAAACCGCCCGGGAGACAATCTCGGAGGTAATACACACCCTCCAAAGCGGCGAAATCCCGCTCCCGCCCCAGCCGCCCATCGTCAAGAACCAGGAATACCTCTCCAACATCGGGCGAGCCGGCTACGAGGGCCACGTGCACAAGCTCAAAGAGCACATCATTAAGGGCGACATCATCCAGGCTGTCCCCTCACAGCGTTTCTCCCGCCCGACGTCGCTCCACCCATTCAACATCTATCGGCACCTGCGCACCGTCAACCCCTCGCCCTACCTCTTCTACATCGACTGTACCGACTTCCAGCTCGTTGGCGCCTCGCCGGAGCTCCTCGTCAAGTCCGAGAACGGCCGCATCATAACCCACCCCATCGCCGGCACCGTCAAGCGCGGCAAAACCACGGAAGATGACGACCACCTCGCCGAGCAGCTCAAGTCCTCACTGAAGGACCGCGCAGAGCACGTCATGCTTGTCGACCTCGCGCGCAACGACGTCAACCGTGTCTGCGACCCCCTCACCACCACCGTCGACAGACTCATGACCGTCGAGCGGTTCTCGCACGTCATGCATCTCGTCTCGCAGGTGTCGGGGGTGCTGCGCAAAGGCATGACCAGGTTCGACGCCCTGCGGAGTATCTTCCCGGCCGGCACGGTCTCGGGCGCGCCAAAAATCCGTGCGATGGAGCTGATTGGGGAGCTGGAGGGCGAGAGAAGAGGCGTGTATGGCGGTGCAGTCGGGTACTGGGGCTACGAGTCGGATAGCATGGATACCTGCATTGCGCTGCGTACGATGTTGGTTAAGGACGGTATTGCCTATCTCCAAGCCGGTATATATTCTGTCCTTACCCTTTGTCTTATTTACCGGAAATCTAACAACAATATCTACAGGTGGCGGTATCGTGCATGACTCCGATCCGTACGACGAATGGATGGAAACAATGAACAAGCTGGGGGCAAACATGCATTGCATCACCAGCGCGGAAGAGAAGTACTCCAGCCTCGAGGAAGGGGACTCGCTGCAGGACTTGAAGAAGGGCCACGAAACTGATCCCGATACCCCTGTCCATATGGGCGATGGCTCATGAGCGCCTTCTCTTCCGTATACCAAAAATGGGGAAATGTTGGCCAGGAGCCAGCAGATATATCTTTCTTTTTATTTGTATTTAGTTAGTTTGTGGAGTTATTAAGTTGTGACGGTTACCCATAGCATAGCGGCCCCGCACTAGGGATTTTTCTCTTTTCTTCTTCCCGGAGCGCTTATCTGATCTACATACATGGCTGCTCGTTTGCGAAGATATCTGGCAGTTGCTGATAGCGCTTTATGTATCAACCTGGGAGTGTTGGATGTGTTGGTTCGGGAGAGAAGTCGAACTGGGGGCAAACAAAGAATATCAAATCTCTGGGGCATGATTCCTCTCGTATCAAGATAAATAGTAGAGACCAATAGTGAAATGCTGCTATCTTTATTACTGTTGTTGTGTTTGTTCACACCCAACCAGCAAAGCCCCAAGCTACATGATGGTATGATGTCAATGATTGATACGCAAAGGAAAAAGAACCCACGACGACAGGGTTATCGTCCACCCCACCACAACCGCCTCCCTCACCCCCACCCCCACCACCATCACAAACAACCCACCAAACCCCCGACACAATGCCCCACAGCGACACCGACTCCGACACCGAGGCCGCAGGCCTCGACCTCTTCACCGAACCCGCCGACTTCCGCCCCCCAGACAAGCCCGCCACATTCGTACAACACACCCTCACCACCGGCGCCCGCGAAACCCTCAACCTGCGTCTCGTCGGCCACAACCCCCTCTGGGGCCACATGCTCTGGAACGCAGGTCGCATCACCAGTGAGTACCTCGAAGAGCACGCCTCAACCCTCATAGCCTCCAAGCGCATCCTTGAGCTCGGCGCCGGCGCCGGCCTCCCCAGCCTCGTGTGCGCGCTGCGCGGCGCTGCCAGCGTCGTCGTCACCGACTACCCCGACCCGGACCTCGTCTCGAACCTCCGCACCAACATTGCCGCTGTGGGTGCGCCGCCGAATATAGTCGTCGAGGGCTACATCTGGGGGCGGGATGCGGGCGAGCTGATGGGCGACGGGGGGAGGTTCGATGTGTTGGTGCTGTCGGACCTGCTGTTTAATCATTCGCAGCATGGGGCGCTGGCGGAGACGGTGAGGGTTGCGATGAAGCCGGATGGGGTTGCGCTGGTGTTTTTCACGCCGCATAGACCCTGGCTGTTGAGTGAGGATTTGGCGTTCTTTAAGGTGGCGGAGGAGGCGGGGTTTGTGGTAAAGAAGGTGTTGGAGAAGAAGTTGGAGGCGCCGATGTTTGAGGAGGATCCGGGGGTGAGTTTTGTTCCTTTGCTGGTTGGTGGGTGCTGACGGGGTGCGTAGGATCGGGAGTTGAGGAGGACGGTGTTTGGGTATGAGCTGAGGTGGGCGGACCCAGGGAAGGTGCAGCTGCCATAGACGGTCTCGGTAATCTCGCCAATCTCGCTAATATAGAAAAAATAACTATTTCCTTCAGCTAGCTTTTAGAAGCCAGGACGCAGCGCGTCAGGAGTACCTGCTGTCCATTGGTGACCTTTTAGCTAGTATTGTGACAAGGCTGGTGGACCGTCCCGAATGCTTGTTGCAGGTGAAAGTCTGACCCGATTGGGAAAGCGATTTGGCAGTAGATACTCTATTTTCAGAAAGATCCATCTCCATCCGCAGCACAGCACAATATTGTAAATTATCTGTACACTCATCGGAGAGGTGGGTGTAGACCAAGCTTCTGATTTAAGGATTGAGGATGGGTTGGTAGCTCCGAAGGGAACATAGGTTTGATATCTGAGCTCAGGAGAAGCTGGGCCCTCAATCTCATTCTGCATTGAGGAGAAGACTGTCATCCTTGAAGATTCCAGGAAGTAGTCAGTAAGAGGAGCGAAGAGAAGAAGCCCCGGGCCTAGCTAGACCTGCATCGACATCAGCATCAGCATCAGTGGTATCAAGGACGGTACCGCTTGGCTGCATGCAGTCCCAGGTGAAAACACTGGCCGGTATCACTCTAGATCTGCCTTGGATTTGCAACCCCTTTGTTTTGTGCGGGCATGTTTCCTGTTGTTGAAAAGATCGAGATATGAAGTGATAAAGAGGACAAACAGAGTTTGGCTTACTGGAAGATTGGGTGTCACATATGCCACCTATCCTCTCCACACAACCAGCCATATATTTTCGGATCACAATATATCACTCGCGTATAAACCAACCCCAATGACATAAGCTAGGGCAGCCTTTATCTTTACATAACCCTATGTAATACTCCAGCGTCCTACACCTACAGATTTGTCTTCGTATTTCCGTGGTAGCTATAATGGGTAGCGTGGATATGGAAAACCCATTTTTGCTTCTCCCAGGCAAACGATGGCACCGAGGTTTGGAGTGCGCGCGCGGGATGGCTCAGTGTATACATGTAGCTACGTAGGCTCGATCGGATTACTCCCTAGACAAAGATATGGCCAGAGGATGGAGAGTATACCACTTGGTACTTATAGTTACTAGTTACATGTAATGTGGTTGATGATTACACTAGAAGCTGCGAACGGGATCTGTGGGCCTGGGGGAGTAGGGGAACGACGCCATTACCAGATATGCAGTTACGCTCCGGGACCGTCGGTCTAGCTATAAGATGAGATGGGGTGTGTGGGGTATATGAGCGATAATTATAATAACGGAAAAGGCCTAAAATGACACAGTTTTCGGTAGACGTGCTCTACAATAACACATGAATGCAAGGTGACACAGTTCGGTATAATCCAAAACGAATATCAATTAGTATACGTATTGGCTACTAAAACAATAATAATATCGAAGGGTCAGGGTTCAAGTTCGGTCTCCGCCTTGGCACACTGCCAAGCTAGCTCAAGTATCACTACTCGTCAACACCGAGAGTACCCAGGATACAACCAATCACACATAAGGTCCTGGGTTCAAACCAGGGGTGGGGGTAGCAGTCGCAAATGTCTTAATAAGTCGCTGCAGTACCTTTTGTAGTTATAGATCAACGCTTTGTTCTTTCTTTCTTTCTTTTTCTTGTAGTGGAATAAAGTCGAGTAGACACGAACTGTGTCTTTTTGCATCATGTGTTATTTCGGAGCACGTATACCCAAAACTGTGTCATTTTAGGCCTTTTCCGTTATAATAATGAGTAGTTACGTGGATCACAGAATATCACTCGGTCTTCTGGCCCCTTCGACTAGGCTTGTTGTTTGTTACTAGAAGGCGGCCGGTAGCGGCGGATAACGTCTATAGGTGAGAGGTGGGCGAGAGGCTTCTATGGTTAGATTGTTGGGATATTAGGCTACTGTCACCTCTTAAGTTCTTCTAGATATAGTCGCCTACAGTTGCATGAAGGTCTCTAGAGCAACGACATACTTAAGAGGTGTTTGGCTTACTAACTAGAGTCAAAAGAAATGAAAACACATATAATCAGTGAGGGGCCTAGGACCACGGCTAACTCTAAAAGGAGGAGCTTTTTTGGCACGATAGTACTTTAGTGTGTTTCCACCATCCCCAACGCCTGTCCTGACCAAAGTACAATCAACTATACTTGCGGTAAAAGGCCTAGATTTAAAGTTAAATATAACTACAAAGGTCATAGAGTGAGTAACGATGTTATCCGCTCTGAGAGTACCGGGTTACCCTGAAGTACCCACTCACTAGACCATCAGATGTAACGAACAAATAAACAAACGAATAAATAAATATCAAGCGACTAGTAAAAAATCTGTATCGAGTGATATCTCATGACGAAAACTTGTCCACAACATAAAACTCTACACCGCCCGCAATAGCAACCCAACCTAGACACAAATCCATCATAGGACGCAGCGAGCCTTGTCAGGTGGCAACCAATCGCACATAAAACAAAAACATCACCATCTAACGTGCTGTCCATGCCTACACATATATAGAACACAATTCTCTTTCCCGGAGTATTACAACACAGTGAATGGTCAAGACACTTTGGGGCTCTACCAGTTTTTTTTTACATTAGTATATATATAAGAACGTTTTTCTCAGTTCCCACAGCTCAAAGACCAGGCAATCAATAACGTTAAACGTGAAAACCTGGTATGCCACTTATCCACCGCTATATTCATTCCCCGCCCCAGCCTCAGCTCAGATCGAACAAGCACACAAGACCAACAAAGCCAGAAGATAAATCATATATCAGACCACTCGCATCTATACCCGACCGGCCTAAAAAAGAAAAGAAAAAGGGGAGGGGGGGGGGGACAAAACGTGACACGAGTGACGCCACGGAACCTAACCTCACCACGCAACCTCACCGCAGTGAGAGCGGTGGCGAGATGGGGTGTTATGTAAATCCATTTAAATATAAGTTCCAGATGGGTGGGAATATACTATGTACCCCGTGGGCGGGCTAGATGTATCAGCTTAGTAGCCTAATCGGCCGCGGAACAGGTCAGTCAGGCCGGGGGCGTTGGTCCGGCGGGGGGAGTATCTAGCCGGCTAGCCTGCTCGCAGCGATAAAGACTTGCGCTGCGGTGCCATTCTACAAAACTCTGCCGGTAACTCCAAAGTCCGGAGGATGACACAAATGCGTAGAGAACGACTCACCGATAAAGCCGGGAAAAGGAAGTCGTGCGAGTGATCTGTCATGATTACGATATTTTAATATGATGGATGAGTGCCGGTGAGTTGCAAGCCCCCCCCCCCCCCTTTCCGGCATTACTCGCAGCGAAACCTCTTGCAACAATAACGCCCACAGACCGCACTCTCCTGCACCTCCTTCCTCTGTCCGTAGATCCGCCGTCCGGTCTGCGCAAGCAAACAAAACAAAACATACCCGCCGGATCTCCAACAGAAAGTAGGAAATGCCTCGGGGTCCAATACCAATGTTGCAATGGTTGAACACCAACGGCGGCCAAGGCCAGGCCATGGGACATCAACCGGACGGACCGTCGACAAGAACTCAACGAGCAGAAGATTTTTCTTCTCTCTCTTTGGTATATATATTAACGAATTTTTAAAGTATTCCATTCCGGCTGTCGTCGCCGGTGTGTGGGGGACGACCCACGGGCAATCTACATAAAATCTCCATGTATATATGTATGATATGTGCACGAATCTACATCCATTGATTGATTGACCCGGGATCATCCCGCCGCACGTACTCTACAGTATGTACCGCAAGATGCCGAGAGAAGAAAAGAAAAGGAAAAAGAAAAAAAACTGAAGGAAAGTAATTTGATTGAACGTGAAGGAACGTGGTGGTTGGGGTGGTGATGAAGATCCCTCCGTCGGGTTATAAACCCGAGCAGTTGCAATTGATCCTAATTAATTAACGAGATGGGCCAGCCAGCCAGGTAGCCAGGTAGGGTTGAGTAAAGTAGAGTAGAGGGTACAGCTGCAGCTGCAGGCGTTAACGTACATGAAGTATGTACATACATACCAAGTACCTACTCTATTAAATACCCGCAGCAGCAGCGAGTGGAGACAGATGAGTAAATACCAATCACTCAATCAATTGCAAACGTTAAACTGCCGCCCCACAGACTCTGGAGACAATAGAGACGTCCGTCCGATAATTGATTATCACCATGCAGCGTAGATTGCAATTGCGAAGGTCTTCCTAGATATCACGGGCAGCGGTGATGGTGAACTGCCATGTGGCCAGTCGGGGAAACCTATGCTTCCTCTTTCCATGCAGGGCCGTCGACCGCATGACAGTAAGACTAAGACACCGTTGATGCGGAGCACACCGGCGGCAGGTGGGCAGCTAGGCAGGCATGTACCTGCTCTGGAGTAAGTAGAGCAGAGAGACGCCCCCAAAACCAACCGGCCACGGTGTAGGACATCCTGCGACGGGCGAGGGAGCTCCGCAGTCCCAGTGCAGCGAGCGAATGTTAGAGAAGCATCCCGTCGCCCGTCTAGACCATCATCGCACGCAAGAGTGCTAGTCCATCCCAGGCCAGAAGATGTGAGAAAGATGGTTAAAGTTAGATAGAGGTGAGGTTGTCCCGGCCAATCATCTCTCAGCAGTCACGTTTCCCCAGCGCCCCCAACGTTACACTTCGTGCCCCCCCTTCCCAATGGCCGGTGCACGATGCAGATGTGTGCTATCTAGATCTGTCTCTGTCCTGTCCTGTCCTGCTTGTCTTTCTGTCTCGCTTTCCCTGGCCTTGTTCTGATCTGGTCTGGTTCTCAATATTTTGTTTTTTTGGCCCCAAACTCTTAATTTCTACTTCAATTGAAAACCGGGGGTTTTGTTTGGCCCCCCAGATATGTTTTCTTTCCCCTCCCTCTGTTAATTGCGTAGTACTTCGCGCGCGCGGGCGCACAAACAGGAGGAGGGGTACAGCATGTACGCGCGCCCCCCCAAAAAGAAAGAGATCGTCGGGGAATCTAGGTTATCGCCAATTTGATGACAGCTTTGAAATAGCTGTCGAGAGGTAGAGAGG